TACCAGAGATAATTAAATTACAGAATCCAGGATATCGAAAGATCTCAACCAAAGCAGCTGTAATTAACTCTTCCAAGAAGCTGAGTTTTATTCATCTTCAATTTAGTCCTACCAAGGTAATTGGATTGCTCATGAAATTGAATATAGAATACAAAGGATTTCACCTACATGGCACTTGCTTTAATCCAGTTTTGGCTGATAGTGAGTAAAAGTGCTACTGCCTGGATCACAAGTTGACAGTCTCTGTCCAAATTCAATTCCCCCCCACCACACACACACACACACACACACACACACACACACCGGGAAGAGTATTCACCACCCAGTTGCATGTGAGAGACAAACACACATATCCCTCTTTATTCAGCAATCTTGTTTTCACAACAGATAAACCAAGAAATAAATGAGCTAAGAAGGAAGGATCATCTTTTAATTAGGATTCATTAATTCTTTCATATTTAGGATTCAAGCATGTTGGTGAGGCAGCGTGTGATCTGAGAATAATCTCAGAGTCTTCATGCAGGTCCGAGAAGTTCTTTTCAGAAGCACCAAATTTTGTGCCTCATGGGCACTGAAGTGGTGTTTAATGAATGAATGTTTGTGAAGCACTTTGAGATCTTGCAGTAAAAGGAACAGGATACCTTAAGAGCACTATATTGACAGAAACAGTATCTAACTTGAAAGGCTTTCGCCTTCATCATCTCTGAAGTATTTACTGCAACTTTTATTCACAAGTTCCACTGCCTCATCTGTTTTTCCTGTTTGCCAGGTTTCTATACTGTAAGACCAGAAATTAGTGCAAATACAAAGAATGCAGACAGTTAACAGACAAATGGTGTTTTGTTTCTTTTACAGAAATTTAATTTCTTTAAAAACTTCTCTCTCTGGTCTCCACCCTGATTTGCTTAAATATTATTTTAACATGTGTGAGTGATAGAAATACTTTCCTTACCTCTCAGAGAACTTCTTGTGAGCCTAAATTTTCCAGTTGGAACCAGATTTATTTCCCTTTTTTCTCTCTAAACCAAGATAGGACAAAAAAATTACTTTCAATCCCAAATTCCTCATTTTGTAGCACGCATCAAGGTCCAGCCTCACGCCTTGGTTTTGTCACTGAAATGAAGATCCAGGCTCACGTTGAAGAGTTGAATCCCCTTCCTTTGTTTCCTATGAATTGCAGCATGTTAGCGCCCTCCGACAAATCAAAGAATTGCTTTCCCAGGTGATATGACTGGCTGTTAACCATTTCCTGCCTGTGCTGGCTAGACTCCTCCCTAATGTTCCATTCACTATAATTTAAGCAGCCAGCTGAAAACATAAGGAGTGCATCAGGAAGGAGGCCTGTAAATCTTGATATGCCTGTATGTAAAAGCTGGTCAGATACACTGGCAGAGCGTCACAATGATTTTAAAGATATTTGGTCATACTATTTTGACAGTATCCCTAAGCCACAAAGAGTAGCTTAACCTCAAAACATCCAACCACCTTAAACAAAGGAAGCTGTGTTGTGAACTCTTCTTAGGTAAATACCAGCTTCTGTCTTGCTACTTCCGGCTGTGATGAGATGATAAAGTCTAAGGAGAGTAGAACTGTGCTTGAGCAATGGGCAATATATTCACAGACCAAAAGTTACCTAGAAAGAAAACTAAACGTAGTTCAGCTAGCCCCAATCTAAAGGGAAGCCAAAGAAATGGAATGAGAGTAACAACGCCAACAAGTGGCCAAAAGCTCATTGACCAAAATGCAGATGAGCCAAGGCTATCCTTTGCCATTCTTAGGGTAACGACTGTGCAAGTGTGCCCCCATAGTGTTGTAGTGCAGACATGTGCTACAACAATAGAAGGATTTTGCTGTTGCTGTTGTTAATTCACCTGTTCCAGGAGGCAGTGGATATTTCCATCAGCTTATCAGAGTTTAGGTCACTTTAACTATTTCTCTGGTGGGGTACATTTTTCATATTTCTGAGCAATGTAGCCAGATCAACCTAAGTTTTAGGTGTAGACCAGGCTGTAAGCTACAGTGTAAGTCAATGGTCACCAACCATTAGATCAGGATCTACTGGTAGATCTTGGAGTCTCTAATAGGTGATCCTAACTGGTTTGGCTGGGAGGCTATCAAGCACTTGGCAGTTCAGCTGCCCCTCCCCTCCCCGCACTTCCCTGCTGCTCCTGCCCAGAGCCTCAGAGCTGCCCCTGGGAGCCTCCTGCTTGTTGTGCAGGGTGGAGGAGACAGAGGCAGGAGAGTAGTGATGTCATTCTGTCCCCCTCTCCTGTACCCCACCTTCATAGAGTGAAGAGGAAGGGCCCTCAGCAAAGGGATGGAGCAGGGGCAGGCCCTTGGAGAAGGGGTGGAGCAGGGGTATTTGGGTTTGAGGGAAATCCTGGACTGACAAATTCAAACAGTGATCGTGTGCTTAAAAAGGTTGGAGACTCCTGGCACACGTTAATTTCTTAAATATCCAAATTCTACTAGGAAATGAATAAGCAAGGACACTAGACCAAACTTTCCTGACTGTTACACTAAAGTAAACTTTTACACAGGTGTAACAGCAAAATTTGGCCCAATGATCTAATTTTGCTCGGCCCATGAGCAGAGGCTGAATTAACCCCTCTATTTCATCAGACTCTACTTTCTTGAGGTGAAAAGGACACCATAGAATCATAAGGTTAGAACAGACTTACGGAGGTCATCAAGTCCAATCCCCTGGCCAAAGCAGAACCAACCCCACAATAAAACAGAGGATATTTTATTTAAATACCTTTCTTAACAGGGACTCAGGTGAAATAGAACAAGGCACCTTAGTTCCTACACTTTTGCATCCTCGTCTCCTTTGGGCACTTCCAACCAGGAATCCACAAAATACACTCATGGCACAATAATGCAAATAGTAATTATGAATAATTCGACAAATTCTTTAGATAAGTTATTCATAATGAAAAGTTCAGCCAGCTGTATTCATACCCATCTGTGACTGAACCTTGACTCAGTGTTGACCCTGACAGCAAAGATGGTGAACAATTGTAGGATTAAAACAACAAGAAATCCTATGACACCTTAAGGGTTAACAGATTTATTTGAGCATAAGCTTTCATGGGCAAAAACCCACTTCATCAGATGTATCATCAATGGTACCGTTACAATGGTCCAAAACCACAAGGCTTTAATTCTCCTCTCCTCTCTACTGTCAAAAGTAGTTTCCTAGTGTTGGTACTGACCAGTGAAGGAAATTAAGAAGACATGACTTCTCTGTCTGCCACCATGGCAGGCCACATTGCAGGGGAGACACAGAGAAAAATCCCAGACCATCTCTGGAGGGTATAAACAAAAAGTACTTGCCAGAAACACTCAGTGAGAGCCAATTCATGGTTCCATGATGTTCCACAGGCAAGATGAAACACTTCACCCTTCCCACCTATTAACTCTTTCTCCCTGTCCTCCTCAGGGCATTCCAGATGCCCAGTTCCAGCCACCACTCATACATACGTGGGAAAGTCAGTGGATGTGATATACCTTGACTTTAGCAAGGCTTTTGATACGGTCTCCCACAATATTCTTGCCAGCAAGTTAAGGGAATGTGGATTGGATAAATGGACGGTAAGATGGATAGAAAGCTGGCTAGAAGGCCGGGCCCAGCGGGTAGTGATCAACGGCTCAATGTCAGGATGGTAGTCGGTTTCTAGCGGAGTGCCCCAAGGTTCGGTTCTAGGACCGGTTTTGTTCAATATCTTTATTAATGATCTGGATGAGGGGATTGATTGCACCGTCAGCAAGTTTGCGGATGATACTAAGCTAGAGGGAGAGGTAGATATGCCTGAGGGCAGAGATAGGGTCCAGAGTGACTTAGACAAATTGGAGGATTGGGCCACAAGAAATCTGAGGAGGTTCAACAAGGACAAGTGCAGAGTCCTGCACTTGGGACGGAAGCATCCCAAGCATTGTTATAGACTGGGGACCAACCAGTTAAAATAAGGGATAAGGGATCTTTCGGAAAAGGCTTTATTTTCCAAAAGATCCGCGTCTAGACTGGTGCTTTTTTCCGGCAAAGCTCCGAGCCGGAAAAAA